CATGGAAGGCTTAGCAGGCTTGTTACACTGGTGGCCCATGTTGGAGTTAAATTCTCCAGTGATTTTTAGCATAGACTTCTTTAAGCCAGGTCTCTCCCATCAGCTATACCAGTCATTGATTATTTGAATCAAAGTGCTGGTGTCGTCATTTATCTTTGTTAAAATTAATATGGTTGGTTTCGCCCATGATTACATCTTGTTAGAAATCCTTTTGACTCCTAAAGACCCCAATTCATAGTGGCTGTGTCATTTAGAAATTAAAGAACTTACTTTAAAATAATCAGCAGTAGCATCCTCCTCCTCCTCCTCATCATCATGGAATCCAAATGAAAGAAGGTTAAGTAAAAATAGTCATTTGTTAGTAGACAGAGTCAAAGGAAGGATGGAACAACTAAGAAAGTCAGTCGAGGTTAAAGATGGTCCTCGTTAAGCACTGGAACAGGGACTTAAGCTCCACCACTGTCCTCTCCACCTCTCACCTATTTCTGCGTGCCAGCCTTCTCCCACCCCAACTATGTTGCATTTCCCCATGGCAGAAAGTATGGCTGCCAACAGCTCCAGAGCTTCACTTGTCGCAGCTTCGACTTCTTTGAAAGAGATTGATCAGGTCCCAAAGGTAAAATCCAGGGAATGAGAAAAGGTGTTCACCTTCATTAGCCATCAGGAGAATCCAAATAAAAACCATGGCAAGATAGCACTCCATACCCACCAGGATAGCTATAATCAGTAACGAGTGTTGTCTTAGATGAGGAGACCTCCGACCCCTCGTTCATTGCCGATGGGAATGTAAAATGGTACAGCCCCTTCGGAAAATGGTTTGGCCATTTCTCATACTATTAAACAAGGTTACCATATGACTCCTGGGGAAAAGAAAATGTCTAGCCACACAAAAACTTGTACACCAATGTTCACAGCAGCACTGTTCATAGTAGCTAAAATGTGGAAATGACCCAAATGTCGTCACTAATGGATGAATGACTCAGTGTGGTGTGTCCATACGATGTGTGTAATGTCACACAGTCATAAAAAGGAATGAGGTACTTTGGGCTGTGTTATAGTGTGTGAGACACATGCTGTAACATGGGCGAGCCCCCCAAATATCTTGCTAAGTGAAGGAAATCAGACACAGAAAGCCATCCATTCATATGAAATGTCCAAAGTAAGGAAGGCTATGGACACAGAAAGTAGATCAGTGGCTGCCTGAGACTGAGGAGTGGGGTATGGAATGGCCAGGGACTGCTAATGAGTATAAGGTTTCTTTTAGGGGTTATAAAAATGTTCTAAGATTCGACTCTGCAAATACACTAAACACCATTGAAATGTACAATTTAAATGGTTGCATTGTATGGTATGTAAACTGTATATCAATAAGGCTTTTAATAAATCCAGGAAAGGAACTCTATGACCTAGCTTAGATCAGATGCTCTATTTTGAACTTCCTATTAATAACTGTGGTTAGTGGAAGTGGGGGGCATCCGGAAAGGTTTGTAGGAATTTGGCAGCTCCTACATGGGGTAGAGTGTCAGCAGACAGAACAAGAGGTACCCACCAGAGTGGCGATTTCTGGAGAATTCAGTTACACAAACACTAAATTAAGTGTTTCTGGTGAATTATCTTATTAATGATGGCAACAGCCTGAGGATATAAAACCCATTTTACAGATGATAAAGGCACCAATTAAATAAATTGCCTGTGGTCACTTAACTAGGTGGTAAGTAATGTGGGGCTAGGGTTCAAACCCGGGTCTGAAGCCACTGTCCTCTCTCAATTATTAGGCCATGCTGCCTCCCTCTGGCTTTATACAAGTTGTTGAAAATCCCGGAACATAACTACTGGAGACCTAACTTGAAATCCATTCATATTCATCTCACTTACTTATTTTCTCTTCACTAGAGGAGACCTTCCAACATAAAAACCATGAACTTCATTTGCTGCAGAGGCGCACTGTTGGTAATCTTTACAAAGTGCCGGAAGACTGAAGATGGTTCTTCAACTCCTGCTAACCACGTTGCTACCCATACCATATTCCTCCAGCTGGTCATGGATTTAAAAACTGGGACAGGAATACATCTTGTTAAAACCACAATGCAGGGAGGTGCCTCTAGCTCAAAGGAGTAGAACGCCGGCCCCATATGCCGGAGATGGCAGGTTCAAACCCAGTCCCACCAAAAATTGCAAAGAAAAAAACCCCACAATGCAGTGGTTCTGTAGCAGCCTCCTGATCCACCAGCCAGTTAACCTTACTCTCAAAATAAGAAATAAGGTTATGGGGCAAGATGTGTGCGTGGTGAACCAATACAGCTTACCTGCCAAGTGTTCACACTCTGTCTCCTTAATAATCTGCTCTCGAATCTTCCCAGAAATGAAATGGCAGAACTGATGGATGCCAAGCCCAGGGTCTGTGGTTTCTCAGATCTCCTCTTCTCTTCTTTCCAAATATCAATACAGCCGTTTTCTTGGATTTTTCTGCTGCACCATGATTTCTCAAAGATCATGGGCAGTGGTTCCACAGCCCAGTGTGCACATACCTCCTATCTCCTGGGTGGATTCACATGGGCCTGTGGTGTAGATTAACTGACTACAGCTGGCCATGTGCCTGGGCTCCTCTCCTACTTGGAGCTCCCGACGCCTGATCCTTCTCATCTGTCCCAGCCTCTCCAAGATGCAGCGCATTCTTGGTGGAGAAGGCAGCCGAGCCCAGGGGAGAGGAGTTGTTCCTCTTTCTCTCTGTCATCTGTCACTGGCAGAACCATCTGTCCCAGCAGTAGGCATATCTTCCCTCCTCCTTCTTTCTTCAAATGGATAAAACAATCTTTCTGTTGTCCTTAGCATTTTTCACCATCCTCAGTCATTCTGAAATGCACCATCCTGCACGAGCCTGCCACACTTCCGTTTCATCTGTGGCCACGTGCCCACTGGCTCCCTTTTAGTCATGCCAGCTGAAAGTTCCCTTTTCATCATCACGGGGATTATTTGAACTTGGAACAACCTTCTATGTTTTTAGAGTTTCCTATCAATGGAGACCATGGTTTCCAGAATGCCTAGGTAAATGTAGTAGCCTTTATAGAGCTGAGTATCTTGCAACAGGATTATGACATAGGTGACTGTTATTATCTTTATTTCATAAACAAGGAAACTGAGGCCCGGAGTAACGGTTCCCCAAGGTTACACAGTTATTTTATGGTGGACCTGGGTGGGTTTGGAACCCAGGTCATCTAAGCCCAGAATCCGTATTCTCAACCACTGCCCTGGAGGCCTCTCCGGAGCACCAGGGCAGAGCAGGCAACCCCAGCCACAAAGATCCAGAAGGAGCTTTTGTGGACCCCAGTGGTAGTGCACACTGAGATAGCTTGAGCCAGGAAAAGGGCCTGAATACCGACACCAAGGGAGAAAGAAGGCAGCTCACAACAGGAGCCTACTTCACAGGCTCGGGAGAGGCCTCAGTGAGATGGTTCATCCGTTCACCAGACACCTGTCAGCCTCGCTATGGCCTCCACAAAACCCTTAGGTGTGGAGGAGGTAAGGATTTCTGAAACAGCTGGCCCCATCCCCTTCCACATCCTCTCTGGAGACCCAAGAGACCTGGGTCCCCTCAGGACAAGACAGCTGAACCTCACTGTTTTAGCAGCAATTCCTGGGCATCCTAAGTTTGTTTTGGCTTCAGACACCCAAAGAGCATGGAGGCGGTGGGGGGGGAGGGGTGGTGTTTCTGGTTTTGGCCAAAGGAGTCATCACAGCTCTTTGCTTAATAAGCCCTTTAAATTATCTCAATAAAGAGGAGACTAAACACTTAACCACAGTGGAGAGTGTCTTATTGATTGGAGGAGAGAGGCTCTGGCCTGCCTGCCCAGGACTGAGCAGGATCCAGGCCAAGCCAGTCCCAGGGGGCAGCTGCCAGGGTGTGAAGTACTTAAGAGAGTTTCTCTGAGCTCTGAGAGGAGCCAGTACTGTTCCAAAGTGGCTTCACAGATTAAGGGGCTGAGTTTCAGAGCTTATGATCCACCTCTGAGACATTGTGCTTAGTGGAAAAGAGATAAAAGCAAGAGGAGGGGGTTTAATCCCTGATGAGCAAATGAGCACAGTCCACACAGTATCTCTGAGCCTCAGTCCCTGCACCTGTTCAGTGGGGACAAGGATACAAAGTTCACAGTGTTCTTGGGGCTCCTGTAGGTCACTATGTAAACATGACTTGTAGGCAGGGCACGGTGGCTCACACCTGTAATCCTAGCACTTTGGGAGGCTGAGACAGGAGAATCGCTTGAGCCCAGGGGTTCGAGGTTGCTGTGAGCTATGATGATGCCACAGCACCCCAGCTTGGGCAATAAAGCGTGACTCTGTCTCAAAAAAAAAAAAAACCTGTCTTGTAAATTATAAATCTCCACATGAATAGAAGGTGGGTTTATTTGTTATTATTGTTTCCTTGAATGAGATCCTGTCACTCGAGAAAGCTCATCCATGACGCCTCATGGGATAAAATCCATATCTTCATGGCCCACTGGACACCGCAGGCTCTCTGGCCCTCACCTGCCTCCCTAATCTCCGTTGCTGTAACTCTCCCTGTTGCAAGTATATCCAGTACCGTTGGCCCTTTGACAGTTGCCAAAACAGCCAGCCTCTCTCCTGCTCCCTCAGGGCCTCTGTGCTTTCTGTCTCCTCTGCTGCACACACTTGTCCCCAGCTGTTCTACATGGCTGGAACCTTGACCTTTAGATCTTGGGTAAATGTTAGCTCCTCAGAGAGCCTTTCCTGACCCACCTGCCATGGCACCTATCTCCATTCTCTTCATGAAAACAAGCACAAGGCCCAATTGTTTTACACATTCACTTGGTTCCTGGTGTTCCCCTTGTAGGATGTTGACGCCATGAACATAAGCAGCCAGGTCATTCCTGGCACATGGCGGGCACTCTGACCAGGGGTTGAATGTGAATGGTGGATGATGGGCAGGGAAGCCTGACTTGTTCTCCAAGTGGCCCCTCCCTTACACACACTCTCTCTCTCAGGTATGGAGACATGGTGCCCAAGACGATTGCAGGGAAGATCTTCGGCTCCATCTGCTCCCTGAGTGGCGTCCTGGTCATTGCCCTGCCAGTTCCTGTGATCGTTTCCAACTTTAGCCGGATTTACCACCAGAATCAAAGAGCTGATAAACGCAGGGCGCAAAAGGTAAGCCTGGGACGCAGGGGTGGGGGAGGAGGTGTAAAGGTTAGGAGCAGACCTGGGCTTTGTGCAGCTGGCAGTCAGCTTGCCAGGCCCGGAGCTCCTCGGAGTCACTGCACGCACAGCCCCTGGATCTGGAAGGTCAGGAGCTTTCTATCCCTTCCTACTTGCCAGTGTCCTGACAGCTGCAGAAAGCAGTGAGTCCCTAGGCATCTGTGGCTAACTGTCTCCTTTTGGATATCCTGTGGCAGCTCCCTGGTCCCTGGCTCTGTCTCCACTCCCCCAGCCACCGCCACTCACAGCCTCCTGGACTGCTCCCTCTCAAGCTATGGGAAACATAATCTCTTTTTAATATCCCATTATAGCCTATATGAAAAGAAAGGCAAATACCGTGAGAGGAGAACGTGCTGAGGTCCTTGAGTTCAGGGACAAACAGCACAACACCCTTTAGTAACCGCCAGGATATCACAAGGTTTAAGGCACAGAACATGGTTGATGATCAAGAGAATAACTGTCAATCCCAAGAAAAGCTTAAAATTATGTCCAGTATGCACTGCTGAAGATGATAGGGAACGGTGAAATGCTGTCATTCATTCGCCCATAGAATGAGGAAAGGTGTCTGAAGGCTTTGGTGCCCAGGAAGACGCCTCCTTCCACTTTCTCCATAAAGCAGCTCAGCGACTCAGCTCTAAGGCGTCCACGAGTGAAGGTTCCTGGGTGGTGACTCTTACCATGGTTCCTATCAGGAATGGTGGGTCTCAGGGAGTTTTTCATTTTTCTTCTGTTCTGTGCTGGAACGTGGTGTCCTTCCATAGTGCGTCAGCCCCCAGATGGTGTGTTCATAGTCTTTCCAGGGACAGGGGACCGGGGAGACCTTGTTGAAAGATTGCCTTATGGAGACTTTGGGCTTTGTCTCCTTATTTTCTTCTTTCTTTTGTTCATTTATTCCAGACATTTACTGAGCACCTATGATTGGAGGGCTACACATTGCAGCTGGGTTCTGTCTTTGCCACATGACCCCTGCCATGTGGCCTTTTGTGTGCCGTGAGGTTGCCTCCTCCCTGTCCTCCTGTCCCCTCGGCCTGAGCTCAGCTGCATTTTTACTTATCTTGACCTGGTCTGTAATGTTGTCAACCGTTAGATTTATCTTCTGGCTCTGTGCCAACGTCTCTGTCCCATCCATACCGTCACCCTAGGTCAGGATGTCCCCAACCTTCCCCCCCCCACACCAGCTGACCCAGGAATGGAAATCTTCTCTTTCCTTCTTCAAGTCAGCTGGCAAATCTGAACAATGCATTATGCAAACTTAAATACATAGGCAGAGGCTTGGCACCTGTGGCTCAAGCAGCTAAGGCGCCAGCCACATACACCTAAGGTGGCAGGTTCGAATCCAGCCCGGGCGCCCGCCAAACAACAATCATGGCTGCAACTAAAAAATGGCCGGGTGTTGTGGTGGGTGCCTGTGGTCCCAGCTACTTGGGAGGCAAAGGCAGGAGACTCGCTTGAGCCTAGGAGTTGGAGGTTGCTGTGAGCAGTGAAGCCATAGCACTCTACCCAGGGGGACAGCTTGAGGTTCTGTCTCAAAAAAATACATACATACATACATACATACATAGGCAGAGAGAAACTGGGATCTTTCCAAGTCCGGGAGCCTGAGACCCTGAAGTGCCAGGGATCCTATAGCACCCCCACCCCCAGGGGCTAGGGCTGACACAGGTTTTGGCAGAGCCGTGCAGTGCGGTTCACAGGGATCCTTGACTCCCATGCCAACTTGTATACACACGATAACAGCCATTGCAACAGTGATCTAGGCACCCTCCCCTCCATGCATCACTTCCCGCTCCAGGCACCACCTCCCCCTCCATGCCCACATCCTCTCCTACTTTTCACAGCATCTCATCTGCTTTTTGCCCCTGCAAAAAATATAACAGTAGACATTTCCCCTGGTACTCTTTTTTTTTTTTTTTAAGAAACACAATCTCACTATATTGCCCCAGCTGGAGTCAAACTGCTAGGCTCTAGCAATCCTCCTCCTGCCTCAACCTCCCAAGTAGCTGAGACTACAGGTGTGCACCACCACTCCTAGTTTCCCTGGCACTTTATAAAGCCCTTCTGGTGTGGTTAAAATCCAGAAGAATAACTGTGGCTTACTCCTCCCTCTAGCTGCTAAAGATGAGTCTCCCTCCCTCCTGACTTCCCGCCCTCTACCCCTTGTCTTCCTCTCTCTCCCCTTGAAGTCAGAGGAAATATTTACTGTATTTTCACCTAGAGTGGACACTGTTTCTCCTCAAGGTTGCTCAGCTCTGTCCCTTTCACCTTGGGCTTCCTGCACTCAGTCTATAGGAGGCAGGTCCAGAGGGTATAGTGGGAAGTAGAGAGAAGGGAGGAGGAGGTCAGGGAAGCCAAAGGTCATTCCCAGACCACAGACTCAGGAGCTGCAGGAGCCACAGAGGAGAGCTCCAGCACACATGCTCTGGGTGCAAATGCTCAAAAGGAAGTTAATACCGGCTCGGAGCCTGTGGCTCAAGCCGCTGAGGCGCCAGCCACATACACCTAAGGTAGCAGGTTCGAATCCCCAGCCCAGGCCTGCCAAACAACAATCATGGCTGCAACCAAAAAATGGCCAGGCGTTGTGGCGGGCACCTGTGGTCCCAGCTACTTGAGAGGCTGAGGCAGGAGACTCGCTTGAGCCCAGAAGTTGGAGGTTGCTATGAGCTGTGATGCCATGGCACTCTACCCAGGGGGATAGCTTAAGGCTCCGTCTCAAAAAAAAAAAAAAAAAGAAAGTTAATACCTTCATCCCTCAATATGCCTAGTCTGCTTAGGGTCGTTACTAAGATAAGTCTGCTACTGTTTGCTTCAGAGATTGTGGCTTCTGAGCCAAATCAATTAGAGATCAGATGGGGTAGTCTAGCCAAGGCCAGAGGGAGGGAGACGTCTGGAGGGGTCCATTTGGTCCCCATCTCCAGTTCTGGTTCATGTTCATATTCTTTTTTATAAGGGGATATTTGAGATAACTGTAGATTCACATGGAGCTATAATAAGCACTACCCAGAGATCCCTTGTACAGTTTGCCCAGTTTTTCACATTGGCAACATTTTACAAAACGGTAGCACAATGTCACAAGCAGGGAATAGGCAAGGAGACAGCCCACCAGTCCTGTTCAGCTTTGCGTGCACTCATGTGTGTATGTGTAAGGCTTTTACGGTTCTATCACCTACACAGGTTCATGCACCATCACCACAGTCAAGGCACTGAACAACCCCAATGCCACGGGGATCCTTGCATTGCCCATTTATAGCCCCACCTCCACCCTACCCTGCTCTGACCCCCTGGTTACCATTTACCTGTCCTCCATCTTTCAAATGTCTTCATTTCACAAATGTTACGCAGATGGACTCATATGGTATGTGTAACCTTCAGAGACTGGCTTTTTTTCATCCCCTTTTCTTCCTGGGGATTCATCCATGTCGTGCATATCAACAGCCTATTCATTTTTCATAGCTGAGTAGCATTCCACAGTATGGATATACTGGCCCGTTTAACTCTTCACTGGTTGAAGAATATCTGAGATGATTCCAGTTTGGGGTTATTACAAATAAAGCTGCTATGAACATTCGTGGACAGGTTTTTATGTAAAGATAAGTTTTTATTTCTCTGAGATAATACCTAAGAGTACAATCATCCATGATCTCTTTTTGGCCTTTCCATTTCTTTCTCTTTCTCCTTTTTCTGCTTCTCCCAAGTCAAGAGATAGAAATACTCGTGACCAAAGGGCGTCTCCCAGCCAGACAGACAGAAAGTGCCTCGTTGTGAGAGCTTCTCAGAGACGGATAGAATCTTGCAGGGAGCAATTGGATACATTGGGAAGGAAGTTTTAGGAATAAAAAAGAGTAACCTCAAAGAAAAAGAAAAGAATTATGATCTTGGACATAGATGGTTTCCCTGAAACCATACCCAGGGTGCAGTGTTCTCCTTCCAGATCTCTCTTCAAACGTGGAATCTCCACACCTGTTCACGATGCATCTTCCTGGGCATTGCTCATCAAGTTTAGAAAGTGACAGGATTTTGCAGCTCAGGGGAAGAGCAGAATGTTATGGAAGCAGCATCTGACCTGGCAGTTGATCCTATGCCGAAGTCTTGCTAATTTACACTTGGCCTGAATAAGCCACTTCGCCTCACAGCCTCCATTTTTTGTCTTTGAAATGGCTCCTGAGCCATTGATCTCTCAGCTCTCTTTTAACTCCCATGTCCTTAAGGCCATGGAGGAGAGTGAAGCTGATCGGTCCAGCCAACGATTGAGCCCATTATAGTGGCTTTATGAACATGGATGTCTAACCAACTACAAAAGACCATTTTCCTCTGCTGTCACAAGCTTTGTGTGAGCACCTGCTCAGTGTGCAGCCCTGTGCTGGGTATAGGAGATAAAAATATGCATAAGCCACAAGCCCCAGCTCTCTGGAGCTCAAAGCCAAGCCAAGGAGCCCACCAAATGCAATGTGCTGGGGATGGTTCTGTAAATACATCGCAAACCTCTTTATCCTGTGTGGGAAATGATTAAACGATACGGTGCATTTGATTTGACAATCTATTGCATTAATAGAGCCCAGGGTAAGAGAAGATTAAAAGAAGTGCCACAAAGGGGAACAGGAGAATCTTTCATCTCTAGAAAATAATGAAGACAGACCCCAGACACGAGAAAAGTCTGGCTCTAAGTGGTGCAATCAGATTAGATAAGGCTTATAATGAGCTTGACACAATTGGATTTCTATATGGCACTCTCAGCACCCAGCACTCACCCAAAGCAACAAAAGGGGAGGAACTTGCATGAATGTGAGGATCTAGCCAAGGGGGAGGGCTGGAGCAGGATTGTCCTAGACCTTGGATGCCGATTCTATGCTCAGAGCAAGGATAGTTAGTTGGCAGGGTGGACTTGCTATTGCCCTTCCTGTCCCAAGCCCCCTTTCTTGTTTTCTCCTTCATCCAGAGGAACACTCATCCTCATATCTATGGGCAGGTCTTCCAGACCCATGTCCTGGTCTTGTCCCCATAGTTAGAGGCCAGGGAAGGGACGTGAATTGTCCCGGCAAGGAGATCCTGCCCAATAGGGGCCTTGCCAGGAAATAAGAGATACAGCGTGTCCTTTGCGCTTCTGCTGACAGCCTGAACTGTGTCCACAGCCTCCTTTTAGCAGATGAACCAGCTCAGAGAACACTTGGGGAAAAAGTAACAAGAAATAGAAATTGCCACAATTTCCCAAGAACTCTACTCCTGCTCAGAGTCCATGCTGAGTTCTATGTGGACTTGCTCAAAGGCAGGAGGACGGGCCCTTCCACTTCAGGATGGGTCTGTGACCCTTGTGGGCCTTTCTGCTTCTGGCCCAAGGGCTAGAAGCCTGGTCTAGATCAACAGGGTCCCAAACTCAAGGTACATTTTTAACCCAGCAGGAACTCCCCTACCCAGACCCTTTCCTTGTCACCCAGAGACTCTTTCCTTAGCCTCTCTCTTTAGTTGTGCCATTGTCATGGTGACAGTGATTATGGTCCTCGGGGGTAAGAAGAGTAGCCAGAGTGTGCAGTGTCCAGCCTGCCCCACTGCCTCTGCAAACAAGAGAGGTAGCTTGTATTGAAGCACTGAGCAGCCCTCCCACAGGGGACCTTCTCTGCTAAAGGCCTCCCAGGTTGGAGCTGGGGAGAGTTTCCAGAGTGGTGTATAGACAGGCATCCCACCCTCCCCTGTCTCTCACACCAGGTCATCTCTCACAGGCCCCTACACTCATTCCCACTGTGATGCATAGCAAGATAGATGTATATTGACACATCCATCCAGAGACAGACATACAATTTGTACATATGCTTATTAACTTAAAAAAAATAGAACCTACTGTTTACTAAGCTCTCAGGATACATCAATAAACAAGGCAAAAACTAGCTGCACAGAGTCTACATTGTAGTGGAGGGAAGAGAAGTAGCAAGATAGATACCTTAGTATAAGCGCTCAGGGAAAATCGGAGGAGTTAAGAATTGTTGGAAAACATACATCCCAGCTTTTCTCATAATTCACTAATGTCTGAGGACCTACTGCATGCAGGGAACTGGACTGGGCCCTAGGGGAGAATCAGCAACACTCCTGAAGGAGTCTGCAGTCTAGTGAGAGATAAGAGCTACTCCAATTGAATAGCATGTGGCATTACGCTGTACTGGCAGATAAAGGTCATGAGACCTCTGTGAGGACAGAGAGCCTGGAGAGGCCACCCGGACCACCCGCACGCTGGAGAGCTGAGTGCAAAGTCCTAGGAATTCTGGCTGTGACCACGATGCACAAGGGGTGGGGTTACACAATGTGTCAGACCCAGCCCCTCAGTCTATGACCAGAGATGCTCAAGGCTAGGAAGAAGCAGTCTCTTCCCCTTCACTAGTGTGTCCTGGGAAGCCAGCCTCCTGGGCCTGCCGTCCTTCCATGTCGTGGTCCCCCTTACCCTGTCTTTGTCTCTGCCAATCACAGAAGGCCCGCCTTGCCAGGATCCGTGTGGCCAAAACAGGCAGCTCCAACGCCTACCTGCACAGCAAGCGGAATGGGCTCCTCAACGAGGCACTGGAGCTGGCGGTGGGTACCTGAGCCCTGTGCTGGGGGGCAGGGGTTAGGAGGACTGACTCCCTCTCCAGGGGCCCCGCACTCCCACACCAGGGCCCCAGTGGGAGCCCTGAGGAGCACCTGGTGGCAGACTTCTTCAGGTAGCAGCCCCTGCCCACCTTCCTGTCCCCTAGGATATCACCACTAAACCAGCTGTAGTCCCAGGGTGAAAGTTGGTTTGTCCAGATTTTTCCGTTGCTGTCCTACCTCTGTGGGGAAATGAAGGAGCTGGAGAGGGGTGTAGCCAGCAGCTTTATACTCAGCCCCCCTTCTTTTCTCACCAGGGCACCCCAGAGGAGGAGCACATGGGCAAGACCACCTCACTCATCGAGAGCCAGCACCACCACCTGCTGCACTGCCTGGAGAAAACCACTGTGAGTCCCCACCCATTGCCACCTCCGCTTTTATCCCTGACCCCTGACCCTTTCTTTTCTAAGGCTGTCCTTACATCCTCACTGGCCAGAAGTCAACGTCTGTCCCCTTTAGGCCCAAGAGGCAGAGAAAGATCTGTCAGCTCAGGAGGAAGGAGCCCCGGGGCAGGGCAAGCCAGCAGCCTACACCAGCCCCACGGCCTGTTTCTTGATTTCTGGGGACTGAGGGCTCTGTCTGGCTCTGATAGCATCACCCTTCAAAGCAGGGCTGAATTGGTACAGGACAGTACCCAAGAGTGTGGAATTTTGCCCCATCTCTGGAGCTAGGTTGATGCACTCTCTGGGTCCCTTTGCTTCCTACATTCCTCTTGGAAAAGGAGACAGGCAGTGCATATGTTTCTCTAACCAGGATTCAGCAGTTATCACCTCCTCTGGATACCCTGCAATCACCAGGGAATTACGATTCTGAAAGGCTGATTGTTAAAGCAGAGTCATGGTTTAAGGGTGCCGGAACTGGAATGTGCAATGACGCTTGTGCCTCACAAACAGACCAAAAGGAAGGGCAGTGGGGCCAACTCTGGACCCTTGGCAAAAGGTTCTAGGAATAAGAGGGTGGGCAGAGGAGTCGGCGTGGACAAGCCAGAGAGAAACAAATGAAACGCTTCCCTCTGCCTTCTAGGACCTCTCTCCCCAAAGAGCCTAGAGTTGGGGCTCAGCACACAAGAGAGGGGACTCTAATTCTGAATGTTCCATATCCTGGCCTCCGAGATGTGAGGTGAATAGATGCTGGATGACTGTTCACCTGAGCCAAATGTGGACACTATGGGTGGCACTTGAACCCAATGAGGTCTTCCAGATTGGGAGGGTGCCCTGCCAACCCTCGTTTCCAAGATTTATTACCAAAACTCTATATGTGTATCTAGAATTTCTCTCAATGATTACAAGCTTGCCAAAGGGATAGGCCTGGACCCACCTGCCCTTTCCAAGTCGCATGTGCTGGGTGGAATGTATAAATTGGAGGGATACGGGTGAAAAGACCTGGGTTTGAAGGGCTGGAATGTTGGCACTGAAGAAATGAATTTTGGAATTGGGGATGGAATGCTGGCATTGAAGAGGTGGAATGTGGAATTGGAGGGAAAGAATGTCAGACTGGGAATAAAGCTCTGGAATGCTGGATTTTAGGGGAGGAATGTTGGGCTCAAGGGTTGGAATGTTGGGGTAGGAGAGGCAGAACGTTGGGATGGAAGGAGCAAATGCTGGGTTTGACCAGGGTCCTCTTGGAGCCACAAGGTGGAATGTTGGGAAGGGGAGGGGGCAGAATGCTGGGAAGAAGGGTGGAATGTTGGACTTAAAGGGTGGAATGCTGGGATGGAAAGACTGATTGTCAAAACTGGCTTGGGAATGCTGGAATGTACAATCAATGGTGTTTTTATCTTCTGTTGGCATGTTGTCCCGTAGGGGTTGTCCTATCTTGTGGATGATCCCCTGTTATCTGTACGAACCTCCACCATCAAGGTATAACTTTTTAAAACTTCAATTGATGTTTTTCTCTCTGACTCTTCTAAGTCTGTGGATTCTCGTCTTTTTACCCTCTGGCCTGGTTCTCTGCATGTGCTGTTGATTCTTCCGGGGCTTAGCCTACCTCTGCTGTCACACCCAGTACCAGCTCAGCCTTCCAGTTTTTTGTGCTGAACTACCCAACTGTCTTTCTGATTCCCTCTTTGGACCTCCCACGGGGCTTGGGAGGGGTGATGGAACATGGCACCAATGTTGGTGCCCTACACATGTCCACGGGCCCCCTCTGCCTCTGCCACCCCACCCCACTCCCAGCTCCCGGGGGACTTCTGGTGTTGGCTGCCAGGGCTGGCCTCTTTCTGAACTCTGTTCTCACGCTGCTTCTCAGACTTCCTCCTCACTCTGGCAGCCTTGGCCAGACCAAGAACACTATAGCTCTGTAGTCGCCATTGTTTTGTTCATCCTGGGTTCAGCTACACCCCAGCTTGGTGGCCTCTAGTCAGGAGATTGTGAGCAGTCCCTTTCTATGCTTGACTTAGGAAATCTTGTGGCTCCAGGTATATTAAGGACCCATCTCCCATAATCAGGAAAAAGAAACCCAATAATTAAAAGAATTCCTATCCCTGACAATTGGATCTATTGGGCAATACTCTCTCCATTCTGTGTATAACTCAGTGCCTTTAAAAGTTTTTATTGTCCCCTTACCCAAGAATCATCAGGATATTACCAATTAAATCCAGAAAAGACCACCACCTAGGATACCCACTATCCAGAGTCAGTGATTCCTTCCCTGCCACTCCAGCAGACCTCATACAGAGCCTGGAAGGTAAAGTCTCTGCTTCTGCCTCTGAAGATACCACCATATCCCCCCATGTCCTATGTATCCCATCAGCTCAGAGCTGCAGAAGAGGTACATGTCACACCATGATTTAACAACTGCAGTCCCTACCCTGCAGTCTGATGGCCAGGGCTGCCAATAGGATTCTTTCTCCTCATGGGATGCCTGTGGGACATCTCCCCTCCTGAGTGCTTATCTGTGATCCAGGCAGCTGGAGCTCCTCCTTCAAGGCCCAGAATAGAGACAGGCAGTCACAGCAAGCACAGGGACTCTCCCCTCCTCCCTGCCGCCTTTCCTACTTCTTCTCCTCTGCCTCCCACAGAACCACGAGTTCATTGATGAGCAGATGTTTGAACAGAACTGCATGGAGAGTTCAATGCAGAACTACCCATCCACAAGGAGCCCCTCGCTATCCAGCCACCCTGGCCTCACCACCACCTGCTGCTCCCGTCGTAGCAAGAAGACCACACACCTGCCCAGCTCCAACCTGCCAGCCACACGCCTGCGCAGCATGCAGGAGCTCAGCACCATCCACATCCAGGGCAGCGAGCAGCCCTCCCTCACTACCAGGTGGGTGGCTCCCCTCCCCACACCCCGGAGCTGTGTTGGCCATTCACAGCACTGAGAGAGCCCAGAGGGTCCACGAGCTGCCCCCATCTAATGCATAGCTTACGGGACTTCCTCCCCCACCGCCCTTCTCATCCTTGCAAGTTAACCCAGAGGCCCTTTATATACTGTTGGAAGATAACATACCAGTTTTAGGCTGAAAGTAGTGTTAGATATCGGGGGGAAAAACTTTATAGATATAGATATAAAAACTTTATATATATAATATATATCTCCAAAAATGACCTACCCCAGTGCAAAGAATGGACCAACCATTTTCTTTCTTTCTTTCTTTCTTTTTTTTTTTTTTTGCAGTTTTTGGCCAAAACTGGGTGTGAACCCGCAACCTCTGGCATATGGGACCGGCACCCTATTCCTTTGAGCCACAGGCGCCACCCAAGAGGTTTTTTTTTTTTTGCAGTTGTTTGGGGGTTTTTTTGGCCAGGGCTGAGTTTGAACCTGCCACCTCTGACATATGGGGCCAGCACCTTACTTCTTTGAGCCACAGGCACCACCCCCAACCATTTTCTTAAGGAAATAATTTTCATAATTGTGTTATTCATGCCTTATCCCAGGCTGATTTTGAATCACAGACTGACTTTTCCCTTCCCTCTCTGCTTATATTTAGACCATCTCCCACTCCCTCCAAATGACTTGCAGAGAATTGGGGAAAGCAAATGTCAAAAGCCACAAATGATAGGTAAACTACCACTGGGAGGAGGGGCACATACACCCTGAAATTCAAAGCCTGGTGTCCATGACTTTGTAATTGTTAGTAGTTTAGGAATAATGATTAGAATGGATAACTGCAACCTGATTACGAAAGGCAGGGACAGCAGGATAGTGAAATCCCCTCCGAGTTCCTATGAGCAGGGAATGTAGGGGCCCGAGGAAGCTTGGGGATGGGACCAGCAGGAACCATCATCAACTCACTCTTTTCTATCCCAGTCGCTCCAGCCTTAATTTGAAAGCAGACGACGGACTGAGACCAAACTGCAAAACATCCCAGATCACCACAGCCATCATCAGCATCCCCACTCCCCCAGCGCTAACCCCAGAGGGGGAGAGTCGGCCACCCCCTGCCAGCCCAGGCCCCAACACGAACATTCCTTCCATAGCCAGCAATGTTGTCAAGGTCTCTGCCTTGTAAAACCACTGGACAGAGGGCCAGAGGGGTAGTGGGGAGTGAGGGGGGGCTGGCATGTTGGTGGGTGGCCACTGGGACCACCCCCTACCCCTTCCCCACTATTTCTGCCTGCCCATTGTACCCCTAGCACTGAGACTTGCGCCTGGAAGGAAAAGGAGGCCGCAAAGGGGTGCCTGAGGTTCACGCTGGTGGCGTGGACACAGGCTTGTGACACTGCATCTCACTGGGGCCAGAGGAAGGGAGGGAGGGTGGGGGGGATGGGCTTGTGGGTGGTATAGGCTGTGTGCCAGGATGGGGCCTGGAGGGGGGAGCCTCAGACCAAATAACAGTCGTTTCTGGAGACCCCAGTGAGGACGACCTAAGACCAAGAGCAGCCCAGAGGCCGAGTTGTCACATGCAAAACAGGAAGAAAATATAACACTGTGTATTTAAGCACCTTTTTCAAGGCTCTTAATGGATAATATTTATTCATGGGAAAAGGTGGAAAACAAAAACACCAACGGATTTTTGTGAAATGTTCTTCTTTATGGACCCAATACCTTTGAACCAAAACAAATGCATTTTGTGAAGGGTTTTTTTTTTTTTTCCTCCTTTTATAGCAAAAGCTTTTAGGCTAAGAAGTCAGTTATGGCTGAGTTCTCTCTCCATTCCCCCAGGTGGGTGAGGTCAATTGAGCCTGGGCCCCCACGGCCCAGCTGACCTGTGCGGAGCTGCCAAGTGACCACACAGCGGTCCTTGCCCTCTGTCTGTCCCTGTCTGCTCTGTCTCTGTACCTCTCCGCTTACCCCCTGGCTGTTTCTCTGTGTGTCCAGCCATCCATCTCTACATGAGTCTCAACGATCCGGAGACATGTTAGTAAAGCCTTCTTCACTGCCAAGCACTGCAGACTTGTGCCTGGGAGTTACATTTGTGTGACGCACTTGTGGAAGAGGAAAGAATGAAGCAGAAGTGAGGGGAGGATGGATTAGGGAAGTTTACCTTATAGAACAAAAGTGTTTCCCTTGTGGATGGAACCACTTGTGTTTGCAGTTTTGGTTTCTGGGAAGAAAAGGGAATGACCAGGAAAAACCCAACACGGGAGAAGCAGCCACCTCTGGCACATGCTGTGAAGAGAGAACAAAGTACCCAGGGCTTATGGCTGCAGTGGGCCTCTGTGGCACCTGGCTATGTCCCCTCTTTCAGAACCCACCACAAAGCCCATCCAGAGCTCTGCCCAGAGGCCCCATGGGCAGTTCCTCCAGAGAGGGCAGTGGTAGGGGATCCAAAACAGCTCCCACAAGGAGGCTATGGAAGGTTAAGCCTGTGTGTTTCATGAAGGTTGCTCCACAGCGTGAAAGCAAGTTCAAGATTCTAGGTGACTCTCACCTGTATGAAAGACACCTTGAGGCCTGAGGAGTCCTTAGACCAGATCCTCCCTGACGATAGCTGAAATGGGGAGAAGCCGGATCACCTCTGTGCAAGTAAGGGAGTAAAGATTATTTCTTGAAAAACCTGGATAACATATCTGTTCAAGTGGCTTGCAGCCTGCTGGGGCTGGGAACAGCATTTCTGGAATCTGAACCATTCTTCTCTGCTTTATGCAGAGCCTGGGGATTAGTGACAAGCCCCTTTCCACCCTCCCCAGTCCCAAGCTATTCTACTGTAGACTCTGTGGGCTCTGAAATGGTTGAGCTCCTCAGGAACTCTTTATCCACCCTACAGCTTAGTGGTTAGCTGCATAATTGTAGGCCAAGAACTTCTCTGCCCACCACAGCCATCTCAATGACCCTCACTAGCCAGGACCCTAAAAGCACCATCTCTGGGCTTCCCAGTGACCCCCGCTCAATTGACCCTGTAGGCAGGGAAAAATCAATGGGTTTTGAGGTGGGCAGCAGGCAGAGGAGGGGAGGCTTCTTTAGACATCTCCTTATGCTGACCCTCACTGACCGCTGACTGGATTTTTATCTCTGGGTCTGGATATCCCATTAATGTGGGAATGGACTGGTTCTTGTGCTCTGAGCTTAGGGTCTAAGAAGGCAGAAAAGCTTCAGACAACTACAGCATAATATGTGTGTATGCACACACATGAAACCAAACTAAACGAACAGGGAATATGCACTTAAATCCATTCGCTTCATTTCAGAAGACCAGGCTGGACTCCACTGAGACGGCAGACTAAGGACTAGAAAAGGATTTTTCTCTTAAAAGAATGGGTAATAGAATAATGTTAGGAATGTCTAAGTTATATATCATAAGATCTGAGTGAAATAAGGGATAAAGAGCCAAGTAGGAACGTGGTTGCATACACATACAAACTGCCTATGCTTATTTTAAGAACAGGTCACAGGCTTAGAATAGTGACTGATTCGACCAAGGATCTGTTTGGTAGAGCACCAAGGGAACACTTTAGTGGTTCCTACAAAACTTAAAAAATTTTAAATATCATTTCCCATGGGGCTTTTTGACCCTAATGGACTGAATGTTTTATATTCCTTCAATTTCATTTTCAAATACCACATTATTCCAGTTCCTAAAAGACCATTAGACCATTCCCTTCTTCTCCATCCCCCATTGTAGCCTTAGCCAGGGATATAGCACCTAGATCACCTCGAATCAACTCAAGAAAAAGATGTCAACCCAGGAAAATGGCACATCTGCAGAACAGAACACAGCAGGCTACACTGCTGTGAAGGGTTGGTAAGTAAACATAGGTCAGAGTGTGCTGAGTGAGTTTGGTAGGTCTAACGCATTGGCCAGGGACTAAAGAACCAGGATGTTAGGGTTTTCTGGAGACCAGTGGCCTTCTGGTACAAGGCTCTAGAGTTTTCACAGTTTATGAACCACTTACCATAATAAAAGATTTCCCCAAGCCCCCCTCCCATTCAGTTAAGGAGTGAGGAGCAAGGGGAGATGAAAAGCAAACCTAACAGCTACACTCAAATGTCACTTGAATGGAAACTTAGAAAAAAGTATTAAGAGTATACCAGAACTAGAAGAGATTAAAGACCATCTAATCCATTCTACAGTATAAAAGCTGAGGCCCAGAGATGTGAAATGGCTTGCTCAAGGACACAGAGTCATGTAATGACATGGCTAAGACCAGAACACAAATTCCTTGGCTGTTAGTATAATGCTTTTCCCTCCACGCCTGCTGCCTCTCAGAGCAATGCCATAATTGGAGACACGGTCTTATGTAGACATCAATACCACTTGGACACAACCCTTGGAGATCATCTGACTGTGCTAACACAAACCATACTTTGGAAACCACCATTCTCTGGGTAGAACCAGCTGTGGACTGTCCGTTCTGTCTGAAATTGTTGAACAGTGAAGTTTTTTCAGTCAAGTTGTTATCTCTTCTCAGATGAAGAGAAGACTAGGACAATGACATTTCAAGCATACTTCTTCTAGTCCTTGTGCTCCTTACTCCGATCTGTGATGGGTAGCAGGTAAAGTAACTAAATTTTCACTTCAGAGGGAGGAAAATAGGTGCAAATCTGAGTGACTTACCCAGTTCACATGGCAAGTTAGTGGTAGAGCTCTGGTTGCGGTCGAGGACCTAGACATCTTGTCCTGGGATGTCTCCTCCACATCATGTTGCATTGCTCTGAGGCTTATCTTTTTACTTACTACCTGGATTCCAAGGGTGGTGAACAGGGGAGGGAGCCTTCCATTCAGAACCACCCTGAACCAGGATCTCCAGAAGCAAACTCTGTACTCCTTCATCCCCTATTTTAATAACTAGTGCCAAGCTCAGGACTAACTGCATAGACTCCCTTTCAAAAGACTGAGATAGTCTCAACAATGGTTGAACACAATAGTTTACGCATAATTTGAGCAGAAATCAAAGTGGACAGTTAACGCTGATCCATAATTAACAAAAAAGTAAACTGGTGGGTATGCTGAGGACTTAATCCAGTTTTCAAAATATGATTCCTGCAGTTCAGGATCATGTCACTTATATTTTGAGGTTATTAATGAATTTCAGTCATCCAGGCTCCCTCTCTTCAATTACCAGGTAACTATAAGGCAGAGAGATCACAATGCTGTTAATTTAAGGCAATATTAGCTTTCCTTCTCTACTGGTTGGCATGGTAACTGTGACAAACTTTTATCATCCCTTTTTGATTTCCTAATGAAATCTCATTATTTGCAAAGCTTTAGAAATGACTGGATGAAGGAAAAACATTGTTATAACCCATGACCCTTGGAGCCCAAACAGCATCATGAAGATAATTGTTGAAACTAAGAGAAAGTGGCTATCAGAAAATGAAACAGCTTTAAAGAAGTTCTTTTTGAGTCTTGTTTTCTATTCAGAATGTTCTATGTTTTTTCTCATCAAGTGTGGGAATGACATTTATCTTAGCGGGTTACTTAACTACACTGGATGATGTCACTCTAACCAGTGTAGGGCACTGATCCAAGTCCTGGGGGCTCCTTGGACCAATGGACTATTTTACAAACCTGGGAGGTGGGAGGGATGGTATATTTTTGATAATCAGACATTCCAATGTAGTGTTTTCCTTAGAAGTCACCCCCCCATTAATGTTATTGTGAAAAACATCAAGTGTGTTCTTTTCTATTTTCGTATAATAAATGGGCTTTGCTTACCAACAGCATATTGGCAAAGAAGAAATACACTGTACAAAACTGCAGGAAGATAAACATGTGAAAACTTTCTATGAAAAAAACTTCTTGAGTTTCCTGTCGTCTTCTTTTGAAACTGTAGTGCATATGTTAAAACATGTATATCATTTACAGTATTGAGTCGTGTGCCACTGCTGTACCTGATGTATCCAATCTGGATTAAACAAACTATGTGCCACAAACCCTAAAATGACTATGAATATTTCTTTTACTATCAGTTCTCCTTTCTTTCCAAAGATGTTGCTATACATTGGGAAAAAGGGTCATTCAAACAAAGAAAGGCTTTCTGCTTTGCTAGAGAAAAGTTACAGAGTCTTAGAAGGGAATTAAAAGTCCTGGTATAATCTTCCTGCCCTGTCCCTGAATGCAAGCAACCCCTCTGTGATACCCCTGACAGTTCTTGCCTGCTTATACACTTGACTTGTGGGCGTTCACTGTCTAACAGGTAAAGCATTTGATTGCATTTGTCAATAGCTCTATTTTGAGGCCCAACTCTACGTTATTGAAAGAAAAGCTGCCTTTAGGTATTAGTACTAGTTCTGCTGAAGCAACACAAAGTATCTACTCTTTTGTCTAATCAAGGTCTCAAACTAAAAATAAAACTCAACTGCTGTATAGCACTTGGGTGAC